CTTTGGCAAATGATGCGAATCTGCAGCAACCAGGGTAAGCGAACGTTGCTATCCGAAGCAACATCCTGGCGCTGTAAGTCGCCCAATCTTGAAGACACATGGATACACGAGGAATATACCATTCGCACATCAAACCCACAAATTTCGAAGCGGACGTGGCTGATGTTCCGCCCTCTACGTTGATTTGTCTTTGTCGACACGTTAGCCACGTATCCAAGTACCTACGTACCTAAGGTTCTGCACATGCTATGAATCGGCTACCCTTGCGAGGGCGCCTGAGCCCACCACATGCCCGAATGCTCCTTCTCGCTCACCCCTGTTTCTGATAACGTACCTAGGTATAATGGGTAGACTGTAGAAAGGCACCCACCAATCATTCGCGTGCAGACTCGCTTGATGGCGCTGCATTGGGAGTAGCGTTCGAGAGGGGTAGGCGAAGATAGACGACGCGTTGCGGACCGATGTTCTTCGGAGTCGTAAGTTGCTGGAATCTCGCTACGCATGTAAGTGACGGGTGGCAGCGGCCTGGCGTAGACAACGGGGTAGGGGAAAGGCTGTAGGCAAGGCAGGGGTACCGAGGTATTTGTGTCGACAGGTAGTCGCACGCGGTGCACCTTGAACACTGACTCTTGAGATATAAAAACACCTTCGACAGCCGGCTAGAAATTGGACTGAATGAAACGACATCGGTCTTTTCCATCTTGAAGATGCGCCTCTACGAATGTTCTTGGACTATGACTCTTGCTCACATCCCTGGAAGAGAGAACTTTGGTAGGTACTTAGGCATGCCTGCCTAAGCAGACACTGCTCATCCCATCTATTGAGACTTCATTATATCAGATATACAACATGCTTGTCTACATCGCGTCCTTCTCCCTCTCGGCTTTAGCGAGAGTCTAGCTTACCTAGGTAGTAGGCATTGGATCTTGTCCAAGTAGCCAAACCTCAAACTACAATATGTCTAGCTTCAACACCAGAACTTAATTTTTTTTCGCATATGTAGACAAGATAAACGGGGTAATTGTTTCATGCTACAGCGCCTTCAGATTAATCACGTATGATTGGATCGATTTTGTCCCTATCACAATCGCGACGCTACGCCCGATACAGTTAGTTGGCCCCCACGTGAAGAACGGGAGCTCCCACCCGTGAGGGGAACGGAAGACGCGACGGAAGGTTCGGGGCAGGCTTTCACTTCATATGACAATCGCGCGTCTACCTGCATTCTTTTACCTGGCGTTTCGACCGGTTCTCTGTCATGCGCAACGGGGATCCCAGATCCTGCCGCCCATTCGAAGGTTTTACGGAAGATCCCTCCACCGCGGCGCGTGCTTAACGCTGAAGTATTGGCGCGAACCGCTGCAACAATCCCAATGTCCACCCGGGCGCTTAGCCAACTATGTTATTGCCCGATAGCCTCAAGAACTCTGTGCAACCGCTATGTCGGTACCGGATTAAGTATGAAAGTGGAATCAGCGGTGCTGTGCCGCAATCTATCTGCGCAGACGATCGATGCAGGTACAGCTTGAATAGCAGACAAAGATGGCTTAAGTAGCCTCTACGTATGCGATTCTCTGTGCGATAACCTTGTATACAGCCACCGAGTCGCTGTAAGTTTCCTTTCAGGCCAATCCCGTTTGAGCGCACTTGGAGCATCTGTCGTTATGGATCGAACATTAGGAGGTCATGCGCCTTCAGTCCCAGCGGACTCGTCTGCTCAGTCTACAACAGATACCATGCCTTTGGGCACAGGTTAGTCATCAATTACCTCTGAAGATCTAGACGGCTAACAAATTTGCCAGTACAAGCTTCAACAGATCGGAAAGGGAGCTGGCTGCCATTTACCTTTAGATGGTATTCTCTATTGATACCGATTAGTGCCACCGCCATCCTGGGCATAACAATATCGCTACTTGTTTGGTACTCGCAACACCACTACGGACTCGGTGCCGATGACGGATCTTCTGCAGTACTGTTTGGATGGCGCTTCACACCAACTCTGCTAGCAGTGCTGTACACACAATCTACGGTTATCCTATTTGAAGATGCCAAGAGAACGGAGCCATTTGCAAGACTAGCACAAGCACCTTCAGAAGGCGCCAGCGCCTTCGGAACAGTGCTCCAAACGCCCAGGGCCTGGTGGGCTATCTTACTGGATATCGTCCTCAAGCGCAAGTCGGTCGGTAAAACCAGTTGGTGTCTCATTTGCACGGCTGTAATCAATGTGGTGGCCCTCCTCGCGATTTCTCCCTTGTCATCGGCCCTTCTTACATCCGAAGAGATTGTAATCACCAAAACGCTTGACATCCGCAGAAGCGTTCCCAAGATTGGCCTCCAGCTGCCCATTGTCGCTAGTAGAGAAGCCTACTTCAGAACTACGTCTGCGCTGATGAGAGATCTCTCTACTTCTGCATGGATAAAAGATACTTCCATCACCTTTCCGAATTGGCCGTCTACAGATCCAGTACAGCTCGGCCCCGATCTGGTATCACGCTTCGACTCTTGGACGGCAGAGACAACGACAATGCATGCGGACCTGGGTTGTCGAGACATGACATTAGAAAGCGCTGATCTTGCACCGATGGAATATAGCGGGTACGATATCATGGGTCACGGGCCATATAAGGGCATAGAACCCATGGTAGCTTTTGCCTTAGCATCAGACGACGGTTGCAGGTACGAGGCGACTGTTCACCCTGCGGCTGAGCTGGCAATGAGGGGAGGTTTGACGTGGTCAAACACTTCTACATTCTACATCAAGTCTGGTACGCTTCCTCTCGGTAGAATCCCGTTTGCCGCCAACGTCTCTTCGACCAGTCCTTTTGCGCGCCACTACGCCTCTCCAGAATGTGCAGATCGCGACATTATCATTCTAAACACCCCATGGACCACGCCCATCAAGTTGGAGCTCAGTGCTGCAACGGTAGGAATTGAGACGAACAGGACCTATCAACGCTCGCCTGACTTTCGCATGAAGGCATTGCTTTGCAAATCTCAGTATTCTATAATAACACACAACATGACTGCCTCGATAGGCCACGGTAGAGAGTCGAACATTACATTCATGGAGTCGGACCACATCCAGCCCGAGTCGATTACGAAAGCTATGTTAGACATTCCCAAATTCGAAGAGATGGCACTACAAGACACTTGGAAAGACTATTTCAACGCCAAAAGCATGTCGTCTGATGCAGATCGTGCTATCGGTGGCTCTTTGAGTCCTTACTCTGATCCAAACACGACCGTTAACGCTCCAATGTTCTTTGGGCTTGGTCCGCTGCTCGGCGCCCTCTATGATTTCAACGTTACCGAAATGTTGTATGACAAGGAGCTTGCATCCCGCGCAGCAAGAGTCAAAGGAAGATTCTTTACGGAGTGTCTTCGCGAGGCCCTGAATGACCCCGACGTAACAAGCGTCGAGCTTACGAAAGGGAAGGCAACAATGGTCGAAAACAGAATCATGGTACTTCGAGAGATTGGAATCGCTTTGGCTACCCTTTTTTTGGTTTCCTTCTTGCTACTCATCCTGGTACTATGGGTCTCACGACTTTCATTTCGGCCACTCGATCTCAGCATGGACCCCGGGAGTACCCTTGGACATGCTATGTTAGTTCAACATCAGCCGACACGATCATCAACATTCCGCGAGGGTCATCGTATAGCGCATTTCGATTTTCAACAACGAATAAGGAATGACACGTTCTTCATGCAGGATGGTGCTATACATACTGCAAGCAGTGGTAACCTCGCAACCACATGTAAGTCGCTACTGACAAACGATTAAAACTGTAAGCTAATCAATGTGTTGAGTAGCTTCCCCAAGCACTGAACCTTCAAGCTACTGGCAGCCTTTGGTCATCCGACTACGTATGCTGTTCGCTCTTTCAAGCTTCCTCGTCCTTATCTTGGTTGCTGTGTTAGTGCTGAACGCATTCTCCGCGAGATCTCGACTTTCTCAGCTTGCATTCGTTTACGAAGCCGATGTTTCTAAGTTGGGGTTGAGCTTCTCCACCTTTGCCCCTATCTCTATCGCACCCACAGTTGTCAGTATTGTGATCGGCTTGTGGTGGGATCAATTAGATTCGACTTTCAGAATCCTCCAACCCTATTTTGCGATGTCGCAACGGCCAACACCAATTTCCAACGGAGCGGGTCTTACATACCGTTCCAAAACCTGGGCTGGTGCGGCTATCAAGGCTGCCCGCAACAAGCATTGGATGCTGTTCCTGGTCGCTACTGGAAGCGTTCTTTGTCAAATTCGTAAGATGCTCGCGATCGATGGTCGTCTAACTCGCTAACCTCAAATTTCCAGTCACCGTTTCGATGTCTGCGCTCTTCGAACGACAAGCTGCGAACGTGTCTCATCGAGAAATTCTCGAAAGAACGCTAGAACCTCGAGAGATACCCATTATAACTACGGTGAAGACCTACGAAGGGCGAACGGCAGAACCCCGTCCGAGTCTGCCTCCATTCGAAGTACTCGACAATCTTCTGATGAACCCGTCTAAAAATTGGCTACCCGGCGCTGCCATTCAGCTGTCACTCAACGGCACCAAGCCTTCTTGGACTCAAGATGATTGGAGCTTCATACCTCTCGATCTTACCAGCATTTCCCAATTGGATGCCAAAGAAACGATGACGTTCCGGGACAACGTAACAATCACGACATCTGCTCTTCGAGCTCGGCTAGAATGCGAACAAATACCTGAGGTAGCCAACACATCGACTTGGCTCATTCATACCGATGAAATCCAACGTTCCCGAGATTCCCCCCGACAGACAGATTTGGAGGGCCTGGAAAGATACTATTCTCTGAACAGTGAGATATTTGGCGATAGTCCGTCGAATACTTCAGCATTTGCCACCACCGCTATGCTGTCATGTTGCTCGAACGGAACCAAGGACGATCCGGATTCAGCAGTGGCAGGATACTGGTCGCCAGTAAACGTCCAAAATTTCCCAAACACAGACAGGCAGTGGCCAGTTCCATTCGTTACAAAATGGATCGTTGGTAAGCCTGTCACAGTCCCAGGTATAAGCAAATTACAAGGACAAATGCTGCTCTTCAAAGATGCACCGGATCTACAAGCCGCTCGCTGTATGCCGATAGTGGAGACGTCAGACGCCAAAGTGATTGTGGACGTGAAAACGGGCGTGATTCAATCATACGAGATCATCAGTTCTGTCGGCCCTGCAAAATCAGCCTGGTCCGAAGTGTTTGTCCGACACGCGCTGACCCATGGCAACGCAACGCAGCAATATGATGAAGAATACCGAGGGCCGTTGAACATCACCACGAGTTATGGAATCTTATTCATGGGATCCATGTTAAAAGCCGCTGACTCTTATTTCGGCGGTCCGCTGGGGACGTCACCCACGGAAGACCCCAGCGATAATGCCTTTGTCATGCGCGACCCTGAAACCGGTATGAACATGGACCTGATGACATACAGCATGTACAGCCTCGCCAACAAGAATCCGCGGGCTTTGCTCGACTACGCAACCCTTGTTACCCACGCAAACCATACCTTCCAAACGTTCTTCCAACACTTCATCAGCAATGGTCTATCGTTAGAGCAAGGCGGTTGGGGGTATCAAAAAATCGGCGACAACAGTACACAAGCATTAGGAGAGCCAGTGACACGGGATGGTAGGGTTCTTCCGCGACGCAAGTACGAAGGTCTCCGCACCAACCGAACAGTTGAGGCATTGGTATCCCACCGAACCCAGGTTCTTCATATGAATGCAATCGCTACATATCTATCGGTGGCAATCATCATCTGGCTTATAGGCACTACAGCCGTGGTCAGTTTTCTACAGCGAAAATACACGGGTCCTTTGATTCGCGACGTGCTACTCATCGCCGACGTACTTGTACTTGTCGCAGGAAGCGATCATCTTCTGCGATTAGTAGAAGAACGAGGTGTGGCACTCAAAAACGCGAATGACGTCAAAACCATGTTAGCGTGGTTCAAGGACAGAGACGGAGAGGTGCGTTGGGGTATTGAGGTTGTTGGGGGCAGTGATGCAGCAGAGTGGGTAGACGCCCCAAAGACCGGTTGGCATGCGCAGGGTGGTTCGAGGCGGGGTTGGATTCCATGGAGAAAAGCGCAATCGTAGTATTAGAGGAGAATCGTGTTTTTTTTTAAAAACTAAGCTATGGTAGAGGCAACAAACGTGGACATCGAGCCCTAGGGAGGGTAGCGCTAGTGTGTCTGCCGAGATGCCGTGTACTTCGCATGTCCGTAGGCCCGTCCCAGTCTTCGAAAGAACTGTGCAATCAGGACCAAGCGGGTGCCTTAAAGGCACCGATGGCGACCGTCGAAAGCCGTGTCGACAATCCAGAATGCTCTGGTCCACTAAGCCGGAGTTTTCTTGTACTCCAGCAACTTTGCCATTAGTCCAACCGCAGAAATAGCGAACTAGGACGGTCAAGGTGGCCCGATGGCGTCTGCGCGAGTCGTATCGAGTTGCATCTCATCGATGTGGACCATGGCATGACTACACAGCGGGGACTTTGCGTTCGTGTGGACAGAGGAGTGGAGAAGCGTGACGCTGTGGAGTAGAGTAATCAACATGGAATAGTTCTAGAAGGTCGACTACTGCATAACGATGCAAAAACCTGGTGCAAATTCTGCTGAGCTTGTGCGCGATGACAGAAGAGTGAGCATGTTGTATGGCTGGACATAAGGTGGCGCGAGCATGGCTATCCAGAAGTCGGTTCGCACTTGACGCGGGGCAGTGGTTAGCCCACAATGAGATCCAAACGCTGGGGTGATTGACGGCTCTCCAACGGTCGTCTTGGTGCTGCATGCTGCAAGGCACCAACAGTGTTGGGCGAACTAAAAGTTGTTCCACTGGCCACGGAGTGACGCGATGAACATCGACTCACAGTTCGCGGACAGCGCACCTGAACGCCTAGATGCCGAAAGCCTTGGAAGTGGTAAGAGTGCTGATAGCACGTAGAATGCAACCATGGCTCGAAACGAGGCTAGGGCTGTGTGGAACGACCGGCTTTAGTCGAGCCGCTGTCAGTCACGGCAATGATCAAGGTGCGAGACATGCGCCACGTTGTGGGAGCGCTGCACGGTGGTTCTTAAGACGAGAATTGGTTTTGCGAACACGTTTGCTCGGCACCGATGACCACAAGATCCTTCGATACAAAAGCTCGATGGACATAACGCTCAGAACAGGCTCTGGCTTGCGTGATACTGCACCGGGGCATGAGGTGATCGCATGGTCAAAACGCACCAGGAGGCGGCGCAGTCGAATAAGCATGCAACAATGTTTCAAGACTTTGACTTCACATCACGACTCAGCTTGAAACTGATCTTGCTCGGCTGCTGCGACACCAAAAGTAAATAACTCCACCGAACAATCTGCGCGAATGCTTGTGGGCATGCTGTGCCAAGTTCAAGGTAGTGAGTAGTGTCATGCAATGCAGATACGCGTGTAGAGTGATCACATGCGATAAGATTGAATCGATCAGAGAGCAAATACAACATGATAGCGAATTAATCTATTATCAGGCTAGGAACAGGATCAGCAAGCCAGGACGTCTGCATATACAACCCCACGCCCGTGTTAAGAGAAAAGGAAACAAATGTCCTTGACGAAGCGAATGACTGAAACAAGTATAGCCCGCCAAGGGGCATGGAATCCCGAATGGTATCCGATATCGTGACTTCGTGAAAAAGAACGTGCAACCAAAAGATAGCACATGCGCCCGCGTCCAAGATAGCCAAGTACCGCACCCATGGTTTCGTCAAGGGAGCATGGAAGGTGAGAGGTGAGAGGAAAGATGACGGGATCAAGCATGACAGGTGCGCGTCGATAACGTAGTGAAGAAATGAATAAATTGGGCCTGCGACGCTGTCTACCTCTGGCATCACTCGAGTGATTTCAACTCTGATCTCCTCTTCCTGGTCTCCCCTGGGTATAACGCGAAATTGGTATCCTGGATTATGGACTGGTAGAATGTAGAACCAAGTAATGCTTGGGCACCAATGCCACAGTAAACAAATATCCGAGTGGCTTATGCGTGGAAAGGCTGATGGCGGCGGGCATGGTCGTGAGCGTGCCTCTTTGCGTTGACATACTCGACCGCGGTGACGTAGACGGTCTTGGTAAGCTTGTGGTAGGGCTTGTCGTCCTGCTTCTCGGGCGCAGGGGTGACCGCGGCAGCAGCCACTTCGATATCGGCAGTGTACGAGTCCTCGTAGGAAGCAGAGGTGGAAGTGGGCTTGACAGCGGAGTACTCAGCCAGCTTGCTGGAGCTTGTGGAAGGCTCAGCAGAAGACTCAGCAGAAGACTCAGACTCGCTTGGAGAAGATCCGTAGTCTCCGGAAGGCGCCTCGCCACCGCACATGTAGAAGTCCATGTTTTGGTCGTTGTAGCAGGACTTGGTCTGAACGTCGTCGGGAAGGACGTAAGAAACCTTGTCGCAAGAAGCTTTATCGTGGCAGGCCAAGATTGGGCAGAAGGTGTTGGCAGCAGATGCGATATTGACATCACTCTGGGTACCAGCTTTGAGGTAGTATCCGTCGTTCCTTGCCGGGCAGTCACCATCAAGGCAGTCGACGTAGGAGACATCGAGGTAGTTGTATCGGAAGTCCACTGGGCCATCCATCTTGCGGAAGTACTCCAACTGAGTGATGTCGACTCCTTTGCACTGCTTGGTCTTGGAGATCTTGATAGAGACACCAGTCTTGCCGTCACCGTGCTCTGGGTCTGGGTAGTTCTCCGAATACGTTTCGCCGGTCTTTAGCGTGACCATGCCATCTTCGGGGCAGCCATCACCTTTGTAGACGGACCAGAGATGCACGTCGTAGTCGCAACGGTTGATAACGCGCGCGTAGGGCTTGGTGGTATCGCAGTCCTTGGTCAAGGCGATAGCGCTTCTAAGGGAGGTGGCCGAAGTGGTCGCGACCATGGCCGAGGCCGCCGAAAGGAGGGTAATGAGCTGCATTATCGTCGAGTTGGACCGGTATAGTAGTTGGCGCAAAGGTGAAGACTGGAAAGAAGCGATCGAAAGAATGTCGGCTGAACACCTAAAAGAGTGAAGTTATTCAGCGAATGAACGTGGGTGACGAAGTCTTTCCTGAGCGGTAGAGAAGGAGTTTGGGACCTGGGGGATGCGCAAGTAAATAAGATGGCTGCATCCTAGTCCACGCAGCCCAGGCCCACTTCGAAGCCCGTCCGCCATGGAACTAATCGTCGCCACGGCGTGGACTTGTTTGGGACGGAGCCAAACGTCGTGGCTAGTCCGGAGAACAGGCACGGGCAGCATGCTAGCCGCGATCAGATAGGTTCTCGACAAGATGGGCAAGGGGCGATCCAATCGGACGAGTGCGGTGCCTGATCGTCAGGGCAATGGTCGTAACTTTGGCCATCTCATGTCGGGTAAAGTACGAAAGCAGAGTAAATAACAACAGGGATGTCGCCGATCGGCATTGTCTTCCTTCTGGCCAGCATTGGTTGCAGAGATTTCCGACTGGGAATGAAGCAACTTCCTGGGCGCGTGCTACTCTGCTTACAACAAAGATGCGAAGTTGTTATTTGGCTGCACCAATGAAGCTGGACGCCTCTCCTTCATCGCAGCATAGAACTTGTGAGCCTCAGGTTGGTGGTGCAGAAACCCGAGATGAGTCCGCTTGGCGAGCCTGGCCATTGTCTTAAGCGATCCCCTTCGCAAGGCTCGAATAGGGGCTGTGTCCAGGCCTCGTCACCTCTTCCAGAGCACGATCACCTACGACGAGCTGTTGGATCGTTGGTTCACAGTCAGACATGCTGCGAGGACAAGTCGTAAGACAGCTGTCACGATTCCGTTGGGCCCGTCCATTTGCGCCATCCTTGTGATGATGACCGGTCGAGCATGTGTAGCAGGAACATGCATCGACAAGTGCGAGGTCCAGGCCGGTGCGCTGTCGCAATGTTGCAGAAAGCCGGTAGTTCGAACCATTTAGCAAGGGCTCCTTTCCACATTTAATTTCCCACACTCGCCAACCGGAAATCTCCCATGACGGCCAGCGTAGGATGAGATCAATTCCGCCACAAGTGCCAGCTCTCTGTTCTTTGTTGCGCTTGTTTGCGGTCACTCCAAGCAAATACAGTCGCTGACTTGGCTGGCTTGGAGGTGCAGCGTAGCGCAGTGAAGCGTGCGACGGATGTCGTGGCACCATAATTGGACCATCTCAGCGACGCGATTCATGTGCAGAGCAATCTGCCAGCGAGTCGTCCCTGGTTGTGCGCCAGTTGTGCATCTTGTCGAGAAGCGTTCCAGATCACAGACACTTTGGTTGAGCGGAATCTGGGCACGAGCGAATCTTTAGTGGGGCTCTCCTGGCCACCACGTGACACAAACACCTGTCAAACGCCGCTCTTCGGTCATGAGATGTCTCTACTTACCAGACAAACTGAAGACCTCGAAAGGCTGATAGAATTATTATTGGAGGCTGGCGCATACTTCCTGGGTGGATTCTGCAACAAGCCATCCGACCTGCATCGTCTCTCGGCTTTGCATCCACTCGAAAGTCTCTACAGTACAGTCTCAGCCATGGTGGTTCACACGGACGCGCAGCAAGTCACATCGTCCTCTCGTTTCTCGATTTTATGCCGCGCAACCCAAGGTGAACCGCTCGCATGCTGAAAACTATGCGAGCGATGTCTTAGCGACTGCCATGTGAAGCACGACCTATATCACGACGTCGGAATAAGAACCAGACCTGTGCTATACGACTTGCACCTACACGGGTTGGCACATGTGGAGCTAAATACCTTCTTTGGTCTCGACGCGTGTCTTGCCCGACCATGCCTGATGCGAGGAGTAACGTTCCGCAGCCTACTCGAGCCGCTGTGCAACACCACTACTAAGCTTGCCGGATTGACAATGTATAGAGCCCTCGCAGTACGTCTTCTCTGGCGGCGGGCATCTTCGCATCTGCATGATGTGAGGTGCACGCAGGATTCACTCTTTGTGATGTAGCCGTCTACGCTTTTCTCGGCACGTTTGATACTACATCTTCTCGGGAAGACAGACGTACTACAATAGTGTATTAGTAGCAATACTAATACGCAAATCAGAGCACAACATCCGCGCAAGTGTGGTTGATCTGAAGAGG